ACTGTCCATCTGTGGCATTCCTAGGTAACCTTGATTATCATCACCTATTCATCAATACACTTGTTATTGTTCATCCACTTGAGTAGTTGACAAGTTCTCTTGATTATACTTGCATCATATATATCAATATACATACACAGTATCTCACAAAGGGTGGTCTTAATATTGAACTATTCTATCCATTCGGATGAGATCTGTTTACCTTGGAAAAGAGAAAGTGATGAAAGATTATGTCATATTATCATCGTCATAAAAGATGTTAACCGAATGTTGACTATCAGACGCATCATGGATCATCTGCCTGTAATTACCGTGGACAATGGTCTGAATAATGGAGATCAATCTTCTCGGTTTTTTCTTTGTTCATCGTTATGCAAATTTCAATTGCGCGTACCATCAATTTACATTTCAACACATTTATAAGTTCATTGGGGATGTCTGTTATCAATTGTGAAAGGAAAACTAATTCAGTTGAGAATAACGCCTGCTATTCGTTCATATCTTTCTTTTTTTGTCTATACTTCTATGAATGTTTGATGAGTTTTATATATTACATATAAAATAAATCAAGGATAAAATTTGCTTTAAGCATCAATGATTATCTTTTACAATACTATAGAATATATAGTTTTTTGTTTTGTTTTGTACTCTTAGGCGAAAATAAAACAATAATTACAGCATTACGTTCTAATGTAACAGTAACCAGTGGTCAAAAAGCAATTTTAATATGTATGTTTGATAGTATAAATCAAGATTTATTACTTTTATCATCACATCAATTAATATGGATTCGACAAAGTCATGCATCTTATGATGCTGATTTAATTTTAGCACATAATCAAGATTTATTAATATCAGATGATCGTTTAAATATTCAACGTACTCATATTGATTATACATTAACAATAACTAATGTTAAAATTGATGATGAAGGAACTTATGTATGTGAAGTAAATACACAACCACCAAAGAAAGCAATTATTTATTTATGTGTTCAAGGTAAAAAAAATTGTTTTTTTTTTTTTGAGATTCAATATTTAAAAATAAATATCATATGTTTTATATTTATTATCTATTTTGTCAAAGTTAAGCTTCATGCTCGAATTGAGATGATCAATAAAGAAATAGTTCGATTTATCCTGATTGTTTATACTAAACATAAAAAATAAAAATGAGAATGCCAGACAAATATTAAACATGAAATAAAAAGTAAACGTTCTTTCATTTAAGAGTGTTACTATTTAGAATGCTAAAGAAAATTGGTAAATGATGATGATCGGAAGCTCTGGCATACATATATATATATATACACACATAGAAGTGAACTGAAGCAAGAGAAGTATGTTTATTTAAAGGAATGATGACATTTCGTTGCCTATATATGTATACATATATGAAACAGAAACACATACGGAATTGCTTTTCAACACTTCTTATTACTAAATATAATATACGATGAGTATTAATATGTCCTGTTGTTTGTCATTAGTTGTACTTAAAAGATCTCAATTTTTGACACTAAACTGACAGATATGTGTCGTAGTGACAATGTACATGATCAATATGGACTTGTTGATGTAATTTTATCGATGTTTAAATATGAGAAAAACAAACTGTAATTTGTCTTTTGAATAGAGAGATATTAATTTTTTTTTTTTTAAATATGTAAAATATTATAACGTGTACAAAGGAAAAAAAGAATTTATTATATCGATTTGATCAAGATATTCCGAGTGATGTGAGAAGAATGGTAGCCTACCATTTAACTCTTCCCATATCTGTGCTCCATATCGTTGGAAATTAGTTCAGAAAATAGTCTCTTTCATTTCCGACTAGATTATGCAAAATGATCTGTAATAGTCATAGATAAAAGTGAAACATATTGATACAAAAAGAAAGATTTAACTATAAAACAGAAAACATGTTCATAGATTTGATTATGATATTTTTCTATTTTCAGAATTTATTTTGAATATTGACATATATTTTATGTAGTTTTTCTATTTCGGAAATATGATACGAATGTATGAAATGCCAATTACATATTTTGCAATAATTGAGTAATTAAAAATTCAATTTCTATATTTTATGAAACATCGATTAATAAAACTGAATGTTTTCAAATAGATCGCTTTCGCTTATAATACACATTGCTATGAATTGACTGCATTCTTTGTTGCTGTCATTTTTTTTTTGTATTCTCTTTGTAGTCATTGCTATTGATGATTGTCATAGTTTGTTATAATTGAACGTCGTATTGGTTTGTTGGCTTGTGTATAAACTTGTTTTATGACTGGTTTTTTTTGAATGAAATAGTACAATGTATTTCGATTGTATTACATAGAAAAAAGCTTGAATGTTCACGCTTGATTGATCGAAAAGTTGATTAAGCTAAATAGGCTCATATTATATATATATATGTATATGTGTATCATACATGTTTAATCGATCAATTCATTGCTATTAGTTTTTGATAATGCACAATAGTGACTCCGAAGTCTCATCATCGCTTTCAAGTCGAGCTGATGATAAAATATTTGTTATTGCAACTGTATTATTACCTATATTTGCTCAAGCAGCATATATATTTGATGTATTTTATTATCATTTCAATGTAGTCGATAATGGATATGAAGGTTTACTTTCCTCAATTTTGAGTGTTTTTGCATATCTTCAATATTGTGCACCGATTCGATCACGTTTTACACGTTTTTTCTATCATTTATTTTTATGGATATTATCAGAAATTGGTACATTAGGTCATCTAATATCGTATTTAAAGAAAAATGATGTATTTTCTCTTGTTTTATATTCACTATGTGGAACAATAGATTCAATTTATTTTGGATGTTTAATTTATTGTCGTGTATTTTCAAAAGATCGTTCTGTTCGTGTTCATATGGCTATTGAACAACGTCATTTATTTCGTTTTATTTCACGTTTAGAAGTTCTACTTGCTATATTTATACCTGTATTTTTTAATAAACACCTTATAACATTAACAAGAGATAATATTGCATTTTATATATTATTTGAATTTTTTGCTGAATATTATCATCGTTTTCATGGTATGAGAGTTAAAGCAGTTTTATATATATTTGTTGTTACAGTAACAGCATCTGTTACATTAGAATGGATACATATTGTAAAACATGAAGTAAAATATGAAATAGCTTCATCATTATGTGAACTTACGGCATCTTGTTTTTGTTATTCATTAATTATAATGCAATTCTTTCCAAATAATTTTATTTCACGTAAAAAAATGGCTAAAACTAGACGTAGACAAACTGTATCATCAATATTATCTCAACACACATACTATAGTCGTCATAGTTGTGATTCCGTTTCAGAAAAAAATGTTTGTTATTTTTAAGTTAATTCAATGTAGATAGTTTTTTTTTTGTTTTCATCGTAATTAATGTAGAGAAAATGTAGTAAAAGATTTATTTCTTCTTTTTTTGGAAATAAATTTTGTATATATGATAGACTATTTGTTGAATTTAAACGTTAAAAATATAGTCGATGGTTATAATCAAGAGAATAAACTTAACGGGGTACTTTTACCTCTGTTTTTTTCACCATTTCTGGCTCTTGAAGAGGATACAGGGTGTGGGTGTGGCGTGGGGGTGTGGCATGTAGGTGTGGTACGTGGACACTTACACTAACATTCATGCCCCACCCCATCCCGCCAGCGCAAAGAAAAACGAACATGATTTTTGATTGAGAAAAACCAGTGTTGAATCAATCGAATGTAAAAAGCGAAACAGAATAACAATATATACTTATTCTAGACATCTTCATAGGTTATTGTCAATATTTTCTGTTTTATTCATTTGGAAAAGTATATACTATCATTCCTATTTTCGATTATCGAATTATATGTATCCAAGATTTTGTAGAACTCACATTATATTTCTCGAAGAAAAAAGATAGTGAGTCTAACAATGAGTATATTTTTGTTAGCGAAGGAAGGAAGAGATAAACCAACGAATATTGGATACATGTTCATAGCAACTGAGGACGACACGTTTCAGATTCCTTTCTCAGAATTTCTAAACAACAGAAAATAGATACTGAACAGCATTAACAATAAGACTTAGATTACTCTAGAACATTCCAAAACCTTTCTTGAAATTTGAATAACTGAAATATATTTTATGAATATTCTAAATAATGCAGTTTTTTTAAATTTATATTCAAGATGCCACAATCGTCATATGATCATGTTATAACTAAAGAAAATAATCAATGTTAGTGTTTCTGAGCTTGTCGAGATATATAATAATCTGTTGATATAATCGATATGTACAACAGACTTGTTTACTAGTTAAATGAATGATTAGAATAATAATAATAATGTTAAATTAAAAAAAAAAACGAAATACGAAAATAAAATAAATGCGAAAACCTCGGATTTAAATCCGAGTGTTATGTGTACTTCAAAAAGTGAAAAGGTAGATCCACTGTGTTTTTTATCACTAAATTGCAAGGAGAAAATACAG